TGTGGTGGTTGTTACTGAGCATGCCTCTGGCTCCCAAAGACGTGGACAGAGCGCTAGTTCCGCCCAGGGGCGGACAGGCAGCATATATCCCCAAAGCCTATTTGTGAAATCTTCCTCCACATCAGAATTAACACAATCCTGGCACAAGTAAGAGGTAATGCCAGCATGTGCGCTTATTGCAGTTGCAGGACAGGAGATTCATTCGTCACTGATTACACGTTTCCAGCTGCAGTGCTCAGCACATCCTGGGAACTGTGCATTAGGGCATTGGTGGTTCCACACCAGAGAGCTTTTTTCCCCTCATGCCATGAACCTCACCGGTACTGGTGTCCTTTGCAAAAAGAAAAAAACCAAAAAGTAATAAAACAGGAGCTACGTGTGTCACATTTTCATTGACAGTGACAACTACTGTGGCAGGTGATGTCCCCATCTCTTTAACTTTTCAGCAGCTTATGAAGGTAATTGACTCCAGAAAAGTTAAGCAAAGGGAGAAAAGCCCCAGAACCAGGCAGCAGTCACTGATGAATGCAGTCTGAAGGAGCTCAGTGCTGCTCTTCCAGCAGCTCCTGTAGCTCTGCCAATTACTACTTAGGCAATTACAACACATCTCTAAGCAAGAGGCAGGGAAGCCTATTAAACACCATTAGCTGGTCTTGAAAAGAAGTAATTAGAATGAACTCAAAATAACAATGGTAACTGGGCAGCTAGTGTGGAGTGACAGGCGGGTGCTGCCATCCCTGTGGGCTGCATTCAAACTGCTGACCACCTGTAGCTACCAGCCAGAAAGTAATTTCTAGCTGTTAATAATCCATAGGTTTTGTGTCACACCATTCATCTGAGGAGTCCCCAGTGCCTGACAGGACTTAACTAAACCTCACAGCTGTAAGGAAGATAAATACTGTGTTCTCATGATTATTTTGCAGTTAGGAAAACTAAAGTACATAGATGTCATGGTCAGCATTAAGAGAAATCACTCAAAATTTTAGGGTAATCAGATGTGAGCTTTAACAAACCTATCAGATTAAGAGCCATCACTTTGAAAAGGACACACAGAATAAGAAACACAAGGAATTCCTGTTCTCATTTCAGAGGCCGGTGTTTGTAATTCTAGCTGCTGTGCCTTGTTCAGTCACACAGTAACTCAGCAGTGAGAACTTGAATGGAGTCAGAAGTCCTGGCTTCCAAAACGACTGGCAGCTCATAGTTTGTGAACTTTCTGACTGCACAGCAGACTTTTTAACCTTCAGTTTTATGGAAGAAAGGCGGAAAAAAGGCTTTCAGGTTTTTGTACAACAGCCTGCTCCCAGTCTCTTCCCGAGGAAAGGGCTTTGCGTGTGTAAACCACAGGGTAGTACTGCTAAAGCATTGTTTTTTTCTAAGTAAAGTCCCATGAGTATACAAGGGTGATGGTGACAGTAAAATCCAGTCTACGCTCACTCTCTGTTGCAGGTAATTTTCAGTGACAAATATGAAACCACTTTCTAAAGATTTAAAGTAAACAAGAGCAATTCTGCCTGCGGGGAAAAATGTTGTCTTTTTTTTTTATGAGGTTTTCGGTAAACCAAGCCTTGGAGAATTTCCTGTAACAATATGTGCTGAAATGCAAAATGGAATGGATTTGCTGAAAGCAGCAACTAAGCAGACCATTTGAAAGGAGCATCTCACCTTCCTCTCTGCACAGATCGGGGCTTTTAATGTTTACTTGCTGGTGTTGGCAATAGCCCCACTCTTGATCCATAAGGCCAAGGGGAAAAGCTTTAAAGTTTCCTTTTGCAGAAGCTACTGACAACCTGCCCCACCAGCTGCTGTGGTTTCTATGAGGTACTTCAAGATAGCTAAACATTAATATTTCATAAACTCCAACCTTCATAGCAGCCCCCTGTAAGCTCAGAACCAAGCTTAGGAGGACACCAACACAGTGATGAGAAGTCCTCAAGGCAGCCTGAGCATCCTGAGCAACACACAGCTCACCAGGCCATGTGGCCACTCTGACATGCTCCCTGTTGCTGGATGAGCAGTGTTCCTGCCTCAGAGCTATCAATACCTTTCTTGGGCCAAAAGAGTGACTGCTGCTCCTGTAAGCCCCAAAATTCTGGGCGAGGAAAGGAACAGCAGCCTTGCTCTAAGGGATCCACCACTGCAGCACTAGCACAAATGCCTGTGAAGGCTTCACCTTCATACATTGCTGTAAGGAAGAAACCCCAGCACTCCAAAACAGAGCTGCTAGCCTTTTTTCAATTTTTTGCTCCTCTGCTGATGTTGTCTGACAGCTCAGCAAAAAGCCAACCCACAAACAGCAGCCTATCTGCTAATGATGGGGTAGAGCTAAGTGTGTTTATCCCTTGCTGTCCCATCCTGGTGCAACAGAAGCTTCTGCTAGGGGTGACCTGCAGAAGCTGAGTGAGCAGGGTCCTGTGACCCTTTACAGAGGTACTTGCCAAACTAATAACCACTTTCAGCAGTGGTGTGGTGACATGATCTTGAATGGAAACCAAGAGAAGGAGCTGTCTGCAGAGCCAAGCCAAACACCGTGGGCACAGCTCCCAGGAGAAGGGGCATCAGAGCTTATGCTTGGCTGGTTTTCTTTAAATAGGCAGTTCCAAAAAGCGCTTGTGATTTTCACAGCCAGTCCTATTAGTACAATCCTGCCTAATACTGATGGGTCATCCAGTCCGAGACCCTTTTCTTGATAAGTCTGTGGAAGCATGAGCCAGGGCAGGGAAGCTCTCGGGAGCCTCGACCAGCTCTGCAGAGAGGCCATAACCCCTTGCTACCAGCAGCTCAGCCCCTGCGGTGTGAGAAGAATGAGAGAAGGAGGCAATTCCTCTCTCCAAGATCACTGGCCTGTGGATGGCACAGTCTGGAAGAACACCATGCACAGAGGCATGTCAAGCTGTACTTTCAAGTCTACCCAACAGTAAACCAAAATCCATTGACTGCTGTCACCACACTGTGCAGGAGTGATCTTGTCCCTGCCTGGCCCGGGTCAAACAGAGCAGTGGGCTTGCTCCTGGGGCTGCCAGGCTCCTCCAGGTCTGCACAGCCAGAGCTCCAGGCTCTCCACACTGTTAATCACTCGTAGTATTGACTAGATCTCCCCATTCTTCAGTCACAGTGTGTGCATGTGTGTATGTATACTCATATATACTTATGTGTATATAAATGTATATTTATACACTCCTTCCCCCCCCAAAAAGCATAACTTACAAAGACCCAATTCTCCACCCAGAGATTGCTACTAGAAAAGTAAACCAAACAATAAATAATAACCTTGGTGTTTTTTGCACTCACTTTCTCCATGAAATACAGGCCTGTGATGTCTTTTTTTTAAAAAAAAAAAACCACCAGAAAGAAGGATGTGTAGTAATTTTCTTTTCTCGTTTTCAATATTCTTCAGCTACAGCTAATTTCACAGGCCAGGGAACAGAGATGATCCTATTCTTCCACCAAATCTGGCTCAATAGAATTCTTTCCACCCTATTTCCCAGATGTACATTTGATTTTTCTAATGTTCTCCCTGATACAGTAAACCTTCAGCTCGCTCTGTTTTACATTGCCTCTTTTGAGCCCCTCTACTCCCCAAAGCAGAACTGGAACACAAGGAACTGAGGATCCCTGTTCATAGCCAGCCCCCTGCATGTTTCTTGACTGTGCAGGCTAACAGAGGCTCTGTTGTACTCTGCACTGATAGAAATGTACCAGCCGATGGAGTCAAAGGCAGAGGATAGATTCATATTATACAATGCTAGTGCTATCAAAATACAGCTGGGCCTAAAGAGCCTATTCAGAAGCTCCAGATCGTGCTTAAAAAGTAAATAAGGTGTTTCGAGCACAGCTGCTCTGAAAATGCAGCTTAGTGAAACAGTAAAAACCATTTTAAGTAAAGTAAAAAAGTAGCACAGGAAGCCAAGTTTGGTCTCTTAGTTTCTGTATGCACCAAAACTAAAATGGAACAGACTAAACTTTAAGTACTGAAGCTGTATCTTTGGTTAATAACCAGACAAATGCCATAACGGTATTCTGCCAAAAGCCATGGCAGTACAACTTATTTACCCTAGATGATGCAAATTCGGGATACTTTTTAAGTCTATTATTAGATGTGAAGGTCACCCAGGCAAACAAGCCCAGCACAAGGGCCTCTGCACCACTCCTACCCAAAACAGTACTTTGTGGTCCATATTTTAACTCAGTAGCCCCTTCCCCTGAGAACAAAGGTGATGAAATGTATGGACTCTGGCCAGAGAAGGGCCAAAGTGGGGAGAAAGGTGATGTCATTTCTTCTCAGTCCTCACATTTCAAAGTGCCACTGCAGAAAGCCAAATCTGAAGGTGCAATAGCCCAAAGCAGCAGTACTTAATTCTTACAGAGTTTTCCCCTCAGAATAACAAGATAGAAACAACCATAATGGTGCCAGGCTCTCACAGGGAAATTGTGAGAGCTCTGAGCTATGCTATCACAAGTGACCCAGGGGTAGCACACAGCCATCTCTGTGGCTCTGAAAAGCACAGACTTCCTGCTTCCTTCCAGGAAGAATCTACTCCTGACCAGTATTTGGCTAATAGACTTTATCAAGGCCAGAGATACTCCCTGCCTACATATAGGTAAGACCGAGAAAAGTGTCTTTCAACAGAATTCTACAGAAAATTTATTCTCCATTAACTTTGATGATTTGTTTCTTCATCACCCGCACAAGTTTTCTCATGAGTTCATGATGTCTCTTATTACTCACTTAACTCTATTATTAAATCTGAGAAGCATTTTTATGAAGTTAGGTAGGAAGGATAATTACTGTTGTAAAATGACTACTGCATATTAAATTCAAAATGAGCAGTCTCAAAGAACCTATCTCCTTTGACTTCAACACGTGTGCTGTGACCTTTTAAAACAGATGCCACAGCAAACATTTTAGCTCATTTTGAAGCTGAAAGGGTGGCTGAAAGGGAAGAGCATTGCTGCTGCTAACAGAGAAGTGACATGCCAGTGTGTTTGTGACACCTTACCTTGTCCCCTGGCTGCGGTCTCATAAGAGAGACTTGATCATAGCCTCGTCGAACCAAAGCCCACAATGCATCAAGTTTGCCCTGGAATACATATGAAAAAAATAAAAGTGATGTGACAAAGAAATTTTGGGAAAATAGCATGAGATTAAACTACAGGGAGTTGATTCAGCCTTTCTGTATTAAACTGTCTGCACAAATACTGCTCCTGTGCCCTTGCCCTCCGTGTACTGCTTATCTGGACAACCAGAAAAAGACACCTCGGTGGGGTAACACGTATCCAATATGCAGTGGGCCAAATTCAGCCTGCCCAAAACTCACTGAGGATGACTGTAGTTTAATGTGAACAACTCCCTTAAAATGCACAATTAGAGAGGTGTTACCTTAACAAAAGCCAGAACCGCAGCAGTATTGTACTGATGGGAGGTGAGCTAGAGCATGGATAAACAGCCACAAGACTACCTACCTAGGCAGGCTTTAAAAATCACAGCTACTTTCCAGACAATAAATTCAAGCACTGTTAAACTCATCTATGAGCACGGTGGGGAGAGGAGACCTCATCCCACAAAGCACTGGTTTGGGACATAGCCACAGGTTTCTGGGATGAGCATGGTATGCTGCTCCCTTGGCCTGTGCTAGCCCTACAGCTTCCTCCTCTGTAAGTGGACAGAACAGCTCTGCCCTGCCTCTCGGGTTGTGTGAGGATACATACATTAAAAGACAGGGAGATATCAGATACTATAATGATATGGAATAAATGGGGATGAAAGCGTGAGGAGACTGAGTGACTTTGCCTAAAATCAAAAACTACATTTTGTGGCTGAACTAGAGGGAAACAGAGCTGAATTCCAACCAAAGGCCTTTGCCACAGTGCAGTCAAAGCAGGGATGGTGCACTTTATCTGATCCTCCTTGTATGCTGCCCTGAGACAGCACTAAACAGCATTAAACAGCATCTGGCCTTCCTAAAAGTTGAGATGCCTGCTGTTACAATTGAGGCTATGCAAAAATGCCTGAAAAGAAGATCTGAGCTGAGGGAGAGAAGATCTCTACTCATGCCCTCCACTTTTCCTCAAAAAGCTATTGCACCACAGTGCCCGGTGAAATGCACGTTCCAAGAAGTGTGCAAAGTTGATGGTTACTGGCCATTTTTCTAAATAGGCTCCCGCAGCTCCGCTGTAAGAAAGACTACACTAAGGAAGCAGGATGTAGTAAGATTACAGCAGAAGCGACTTGGTAAAACTGAGTGGCAGACACACTACCTTGATCGGAGTGTACCATTTCCGCTGGGAAGGTGGTTTTCTCACATGGGGCTTTTTCGGCTTGGGTTCCCATGGCTCATACTCCTGTTCTGGCAACTTAATAATAGCATTTTTGGGCTTCTCCAATTTTGCTCCTTCCTCTGTTGACCCCTTGTCTCCCCATCGCACCTGAAGTCACGAGAACACACTGTAAGTAGATATTCTTCAGAAGTCCCCACCAGCAGGTGGCTTTCACAGACATTAATCTAGTTCCTATCAGATGACCCAATGCCACCAGATACATAGCCCATTTTATGAAGGCACCAAACTCGCACTGTAATCAGAAATGCACATTTAAGAGAAAAATAGTCTCACTCAAAACCAGTTTGAACTACTATTCTTTGCACCATCCAGTAACCTAAGGTGTTGTGGGAATTCACAGCATCCAGGGCAGATTAACCCATTTCCAAGTGAAATCTGAAGCACTCTGCCCAGCTCTGCTAGGACACAGGTGTAGTACGTTTCCCATTGCCTCACACAAAAAGCAGGCAGCAGCCCCAGCTGAAGGCTGGCAGTCTTTACAGCCAGCATTAAGCAGCTCCTGTGGTTCAGTTCAAAAGTGAAAAAAGGGTCATTAGACAAGTACATGAATGGTTTATGAGCATCAGCCCTCAAACTTGTGTGGCTCTTCCAAAGATGACCTTGCACAGTCACAAGAGAGGTCAGTAACTTTATCTTTACATACTACACACTACTTATTTCAAGCTGAAATCCTGATTTTGTTGTCTGACTTAACCTCAGACAGAAATGTGACCCTGCATTCAAGGGCAATATAGTGTTACTCAGCATTGGTGATAAAATTCTACCAAGGAAAATAGTTAAGGATATTAAGATGCAATATTTCAACTGCAGACTTGCAGGGACTTGCTGTGAAGCCATTGTTTTCATTCTGTTAGTCTAGTTTGGTCCAGATCCTTGGCTGACTTACATTAGACCACCTCTGTCTACTAACAATTAAATCTAGTGGAAGTTTCTAGTGTGACATCCCAAAAAGTCATTATTAGGCCCTCAGCTGATAAAAGTGAGTGCTAATTCCCTGCCTTATATTATCCATTAGGATAATATAATACGTTAGGAATATTGAATTGATTTCACTAACATGGTTATTTACAAGAATTAGTAGCTGATCACAGCATTATCCACTGATTCCCTGAAATATAGAGGCCATAGGACAGAGCACAAGGCAAATTTCTTTCACAGTAACACATTATTTTACACATGAAGACTGGCTTGTGCGTGAATCCCAGGGCAGGGATTCATTGCCCAATTTCAAGACATGTGGCTTTATGCATTAGAAGTTAACACTTAAGGGAAAAAAAACCCAAAAAAACCAAACCACACCACCCCCCCCCCCCAAAAATACCAAACCAAAATCCACAAGCCAACCCCAACCCCCCCAAAAAAACACCCCCAAAACCACCAACCAAAAACAAACCCAAAAGAAAAAGGGGGGGAGAGGGTGGGGAGAGAGAAAAAAACCCGCCCTAGTTTAAATTCCCCAAGCCAACTGCTTCCAGCCAGTCAGGCACAGTGGAGATGGCACCCTCAAAACCAGTGTAACTCTGCCTGAAACAAAAGAATTGAACTAACTGCACTGAAAGGTTGATTCATTAATTTAAAACTTCTTTTGGTGCTTATCTCATTTCTTAACCTGTAAATTTTTTCTAGCTCATAATGCTAGGTTCATTTGATTATTCATGCGAATAATGGCAGCTTGACGTCTGTTACTGGGACAGCAGGTGCAATCAGCTGGACAAGCCCTAATTAAATCCCAGTCTCTAGCCCATCAAGGTTGCTTAAAAAAAACCACCCAAAACACATAAAACCAGATTGTCATAATTTATAGCTAAACGTGCTGATTTTTACAACACTAAAGAACAAGCCAAATACCTCCATCCTCTTAATCCCACCAACACCTCGACCTCCATAATAAGATGCGTCCACGGTTGGCCACTTTTTCTTTGGCAATCCATCTTCATCATCTGACTCCTATGGGAAAGGCAGGGAGATATTACTTCTGTTCTCACACAATCAGCATAAACTATGGAAAGCAACTGAACATCCTATGGTCCAGTCCTTGGATATCTGGCTTTGTGTGTTATGCTTATTTGCTGACAAAAAACAAAAGTCTCTTGTCTCTGCAGCTGCAATTTTAACTAGGGAAGCCAAAGAGGATTTTCTATTCCTCTCTCCAGGCAGCTTTTATGCAATCAAATATGCATTGAGCTTCAAAATCACAACTGACTTTTAAGGGAAGGCAAAGTGGAAATGAATCATACATTATACTGGCTTACCACTATTGCTATGCAGAAGATGCAGCAATCAGTTGGCCCAAAGAAATCATTTATTAATTGCACTTCTAGAACTTAATGTCACCTAACAGAGAAAGAAGCTACTACTGTGAGTTTTCTAAGATGTGCATCAGACCATTTTCTCATGGCAGCTATAACTAGTTATTCTATGCTGCTTTGTACAGTCTGGCTCAAGCTGTACAGTTTGGAACCAGGACTCAGACTGGAGCATCTCCAAATTGTCAGGAAGCTCAGATCCAGAGTTTTTGACCTGCACTTACAAAGACTGCAGATTATTTTTCTGGAACGTGGGAAAGTCTGAATCAGGGATTTGCTTCAGGTTCATTGTTCTGTTATAGCTTAACTAAAAGCTGGTGAATGTTTCTGGTTCAACAACCCTGGGAACACTTCTGCTCCTATCATCTTGAGCTGACAGAATTCACTGGGATTTCTCAGACTCCCTATCATCACACTGAACTGAGGCAGCTGAAAGTCACACCATGACACATATAACTGAGGAAAGGGATCAACAAGCCTCCTACAATACCATATTCCTTCTTCTCATAACGACAAATAACTACAGTTCATGCTGACATGCAGATGGGCACACTGCTCTTGGGCTGGCCATGCACAGTGCTCCCTAATTTTCATCAGTACAAGCACGTTTCTAGAAACACTGCCTGAACTTAGTTTTTACTAAAAGAAATTTATAAATAAATAAATAAATCATCAAGTGAAATCCAAATACTACAGAATGACACATATTATTGTCAGATTACTAGGTGACGTTTTCTCAGAATTGCCCTACATGATTCTATTGGAATGCAAAAGGAATTGAGAGTCCAAAAGCCAACAATATTTTTTTAAAAGATGTGCCAGAATTTTTGTTTGTTCATGTTTAACTCTTAGGTTATGCCTCTGAGAAAGATTATTTCCATCAGTTATTCAGTGACATCTGATGTCTCAGCAACAGTTCATGAGTTAGTTCCTCCAACAAATGCTTTAGTATGGCCAGACAAGACTAGAGTTGACACTTCTATTAAGCAGTAAGAGGGGGTTGTTGTGGTGGTGGTGGGGTTGGGGATTTTTGGTGCTGATGGGGTTTTTTAGCTGTTTTTTGTTGCTGTTCGTTTGTTTCATCTTAAGTCAGGGAAATAAACATACAAGGAAGGCATTGTGATTCGGTGTTGGGTTTTGTTGTGGTTTTGTTTAACAAACAAATTTTATCCCACTTTGTGCCACACCTAAACCAGTACCCAGTGAAATACATCAGTGGTTGTAATTTATTGATACTTGATTTCATTGTGAACTTGAGTATAATATAAAATACAGTGGCTCTTCCATGTGATGTAACAGAGATTTCATGTGATCATGTCTAACAACCCTTGTTATACCAAACATCCCCTACACTGAACACAAAGCAAAGCAACATAAACAGCTACCACATATATTTTGAATAGTAATGGAAATCTAATGCTTGTGGATTAGAACAAGTTTTAGATAACTATATTCAGTTTAACAGCAGCAATACCAGACTGTAACAGCTAAAGGACAAGTCACCATACCTAGGAAGGCTAGTGCTAAGTATAACAAAACCACACTCCATACGAGATGAAGACAAGTAATCCCAAGTAAACAGATAGATAATATCTGCATTCTGTGTTATTCCTGGACATTTAACATCAGCTCACAGTCCCTGATTACGTTTAAAATCTCTGCAGATCAGAATAATCTCAAAGCATCTGGGAAATCTGCTGCAGGGGTGCAATGCTCTCTGAAACCTCCTTCATACACAGCATAACTGCAATTGCAGGTTTCAGACAACACTAATCACCCTAAAACCAGAATGATTTTTGGTGTGTATTCTAAAGTTAAGCTGTCACAGTGCTGCTGCCCAGGACAAGCAATAGGATCACATACACAGTAATGGTGGCCTCTGGCAACCTCAAAACAGCAGCTGTGGTTGCCTCCTCATATTCATGCCAAGTTACAGCAAGTTAGCAGCATACTGTAAGCTTCTCTTGTGGGTTAAGGCAAATATTTTTCCATCATTTAACTGTCTATGCCTAGGAAAGAAATAAAGGCAGGGATAAGTTCTCTGGAGGTACTTTTATTTATTACTATTATTTTAATGAAATTAGTATAGTGGAACTAAGCTGAGGATAGGACCAGTTAGGTCAGCACCAGTTACTGTTCCAAAAAGAGCTAAATACAACCCTGCCTCAAAAAGCTCACAACCTAAATGGAGAAGGCTAAATGTCCTTTAAAAGGTCACTCTGCAGCAGAGCCACAGCTGGGGCAGGCTGTTGTCTCCCTCTCTTGCAGCAAAGCCTCAAGAATGTGGCCTTCACTGTCAGTCCTTTCAGCTGCCAGACTTTGCTCCATACTGCAAAGCTGGGATAAACTGCTCAGAGCAATGGCAGCTTTGCTGCAGGAGGGACAGCTTTCAGCACAGCTTCAGAAGCAAAGATTTACTCACACACCTGTTTGATGTGCAGCAGAAGGAACAAAACACCATGAGAACTCTCAGTCTGTGGACTTCTGAGTTATGCAACTATTTTCTCTGTGGATGGAAATAATCTTAATGTATGTATATAAAGAGGCCAGAAGGCAGAAATAACTGTCCTGACCCAAGGGACTTTCTCTCAGAGCCTTCAAGGTGTCATTAAGACACCTACAGGGCTGACATTCCTGGGCAGCACAATACACTACAGTGGCTGCAGGCAGTGCAATAGCTCAAAAATAGCATACTTACAGGCTCTGGAGGTGGTGGTGGTGGTGGCTCCTTGATCACCTGGAATATATAAACAACGGGAGAAATCTGAGATAACGGTAGGGTTCATCATCTCAACGCTATGGCTTCTCTGCTTTCCTGCTAATATCAAAGATGGGTTGCCCTGCTCAATCAGCAGGCATAAAATAAATGCAGATGAGAAGCTAAATCCATCACATTGAACTGAGTCGTCAAGAAGTGCCCTATTAAGTAACTCAAAATACAGCTTCCTATTCTGGTAGTTCTGCCTTAAAAGCATCATACAATCACCAAGCTAGTGCAAAATACCCACTTAGAATCTGCAGCTCCTACAAAAACTTGAGCCATATCCACGACCTCACTTAAACTTCTCATTCAGTGTCAAAATCACACAGACTTTGCAACATTCACAAACCCAGACCAGAGTGACTTAACAAGCACTTTAAGCAGTTTGTTGAATCAGGGCCATAAAAACCCAGCAACATTTTTCTTGAAGTTAACCATCCACTCCAACAACTTCAACTCCTTGGTTTCAAAAAGAAGAGATGAAACCAAGTCAAAAGAATAAAAACCTGTACTTACCACTGTGCAGCAAAGGGGCCAGAACCACCACAGAAGAGCCAGAGCCAGCAGCAAAAAGAGAACCAGGAGAGCAATGAAAAGGATGGTTCCAGTCAGCTGCAAACAAGATGATTACTTCCAAGTTATCTGAGCATGACACAAACAAGGCAGGAGCCCTGACATTACACATTTAGACTGGCCAAAAGGAGCCTGGTTTCCCTTACTACGAGGTCTCAGGTAGATTGTTCAGTCAGTCACTATTATCGTTAGGGCCACATCAGCATTTGGTATGACAAATCTGTATTTCAAGTCATGATTCAGGGAAGCACTTCTTGTTCGTGGTGTGTTTGTGTATCATTCATATATGAATTTATGGTATGTTCATAGCCCACTGGATTAAAAGGTATTAACTTGTATAAAAACCATTCCCAAATCTGTGCTGACAGATCCCTTAATACTATAAGAGGGGCATTGCAAACTACACGACCACAGACTCTCAGGTGTGCACAGTAACCTTTCATCATCCAAGATGTACAATATGTAAATGCTGATACTCAAAGAATGGAAATATTTGGGCTAAGACTTTATGGGCCAACATCAGAGAACAGAGCACAATTTACTGAGCCTCATCAGCTCCCAAGCCTGCCTATTGCATCTCATCTCAAACTGCACACACAACCCCAGCCTGAGTGATTATAGTTTGGGTTGGAAGGGACCTTCGAAGATCATCTATTCCAACCCCCTTGCAACGAGCAGGGACATTTTCAACTATATCAGGTTGCTCAAAACTACATTCAGCCTGGCCTTGAATGTCTGCAAACTAGTCCTTAATGCTGCTTGTTCTTGGTACACTTCCTAGAGCTGGTTTGACTATTTTTAATGAGATTCTGTAATCATGATCTTAGGTATTTCTGATTCTTATATTCCATCTATTTCTCTGCAGGGAATGGTGGGACTTTAGGGCTGGATAGCCAAGGGTCTGCATTCAAAATCAAAGTTAAATTTTCTTTAAAATTACTTGAATCCAAAATAAATTAAAATGTTAACACTTGAAATTAGCTTTTCAGAGCAGCCAGGCAACCAAAGAGAATCACAGCTTTGATTTTCCTGAGTAAATCTTAATGGATTCTTTGCACTTGGAGCATTTCATGTCAGGGTGTTCAGAAGAGGTACTAACTGTGTGTATTGCTCTGATATCTACAGAAAAGCAGGTCTTCATATGCTGCTTGGCCCCTGCAGAGCATACAGAGCACATGGCATTTTGGAAATTAAACATTTGTTGCAGTGGCATGCTGGGACATGCTGTTGCCTTAGACGGCACTGGGCTCTGGGATGAGGTTAAGATTAGCTCTCATGCCCTAGCTATTTCTTTTATACTGGGAAAAGAAACTTCTTCAATGGTAGATTTTCTGAATTTGAGAAGAGGTTCAGTTCCTTAGCAAAAGAGGTACCAGAAAACAGTCAGAACTTGGCAGCAAACTAGAGGAGAGCCTGGGACCAGGAGGATGTGCAAAGAGCTTGAAGAAAGGTCTGTGAATCAGGCTGAGGAAATAGGAACTGGCTAAATAGGAAGCTGTAAGAGTTTTTCAAAGAAGGGTAGGTGGGAGGATAAACGGGAAGAAAGCAAATTTCAGATAAGACTTACGGAGGATAAAGTCCATGAGATTCACCTATTAGAAGACACACTACCCAGCTGCAGTTCAGTGCTGCAGCCCCACTCTCTAGCCCTCCTATGGACTCATGCAGCACTAAATGTACCTGGAAAGCAGACGCTTGAAAGGCATGAATTCCCAGTGAAGTCAGTTTGCTGAGAAAAAGATGAGTAAAAGTCAAACATAACTTTAAGATGTACTGCTGCACTCAAAATCAAATCCAAGCACAGTAGCAATGCAGTGCATGAGTGACAGATGCACATACCACCGCTACTGTTACTCCAACCACATGTGACCTCCTTGTTTTGTAGCCTTTTTCCTCAGGCTCGCTTTTCCCATGCAAAGTGCTCACATAAATTGCTAAGACATTTGCCCGCTACAGCTCAGCATCTGCTGGCAGCAAGAAGCTAAGAAGTCCTCTTTTAATGATTATACAAAGCATCGTAGTGAAGGTAGACCTGGAAAACGAAATAGCAGACTTCATGGAGCTGAACAGAAATAAGCATGGAGATCACAGGGAGGCTTTAGGAGCGAAGTGAAGATACTTACTGTACAGAAAGGACAGAAGAGCCAGCAGGGAAGGAGAGCTGAGCAGGCCAGCTGACTGCCACCCACAGAAAAGGGAACAGGAGAGGAAAGGAAATGAAGGGAGTCTCTAAAATGAGAAGAGTTAAATGCATGAAATTAAGACAGAGTTGGAAACTGAACTGCCAACCTCCCTGTTTATGGGATGTAACCGGACTAAGACAGCCTTTTTGTACCAACTGAGAATCAGGCTTTCTGCCTCCTTCACATTCAATCTGCAAGATGCTGGTCAAAAGCTGTCAGATTGACAGGACTGGAGATTGGATTCCTCTCTTTTTCCTAAGGCTACCAAGAGGAATGCTTCCTCCATCCATTCTCTGGCCTGTGGGAACCCCAGCTATGGCTAAAACTTCAATGTTCATCAGAAATAAGCTACATATGGGTGACTAAATGTACCAGTTAATATTGTGTTTCACAACAAGGTAGAAGAGGGGAATAAAATGTGAAAATATCAATCTTCAGTGTAGAAAATTTGGAGGAAAGTTTCAGAAAAATGAAAATAATCAGGTGAAGCAGCAAACATGTCTCTGCTACGATCTGAGTTCCTGCACCCCAGACTGTTCCAGCAATCTGGTGTGAGATTTCCCAGCTTCACTGCTGAAAACACCAGAAAATGAAATTTGCAAGTTTCAGTCACTGCCTCTATCTGCATTCCT